AAAAAACAGATAGATAAACAATGAAACATTACATTAACAAGGATTTAAGATGGTACATAAACACACATGAAGTCAGAGGAATACCAGTGGTTATATTCCACACACAAAGAATATATATGTATATATCTATCTATATATACATATATACACACATGTGTGTATATATGTATATATAGATAGATATATACATATATATTCTTTGTGTGTGGAATATAACCACTGGTATTCCTCTGACTTCATGTGTGTTAATGTACCATCTTAAATCCTTGTTAATGTAATGTTTCATTGTTTATCTATCTGTTTTTTCGCTCTCCTTTCATAACGTTAATGTTTGCATATCTGCCGACCGTGTTTTCGGGATTTTTTTCTGGTGTTCCGAGGGCAACCCCTGTATTTGACGTCACAGCGCTATGAACTGTGGGTAATTTCCTTACCTCAAGTCTGCATCGATGCTGACCTACGGTAAGGGGGCATAAAGGGCTCACTCACTGACTGACTGACTTGACGACTTGACAATGGGACAGCCCTCACACACTCACGCACTTCACATGAACGCGCCTCTAAGTCAGTGAGTCTGTAAGGGATCGGATTGGAATTGGGCCTATCTTGCCCGGCTGCGCCCAGCTGTTCCTGTGTACATTCTGCTCCGCACGCTGATTGGGTAGCCAAGTTGTTGTCGTCACGTCATGCGACTAGTAACCAGTGTTGCCAAGTCCGCTTATTGTAAGCAGCGTTTTTTTTGGGCTTGTCTCTAAAGCGTAGTTGCTTATTTGGGCTTGTTCCCAGCTCCATAATAAGCTGTCAAGCAGATATTTTCAATATGTTATTTAAACGTAGGATAGTTAGCTTTGCCTGTTCCCTCTGTCCCTCCCTTTCCCCATACACACAGGAGACAGCAGAGTTTTTCCCACCCGCATCCTGCTTCTAATTGGCTCTGACCCTTATGCAACGAGTACTAGCCAATCAGAGGCAGAGCAGGGTAATGTGTTTTTTCCTGGTTAGGAAAACGTCAGTCCTGTAACTAAAAGAAAAAAGTTAGATGAGTGCATAAAAAGCAAAAATAAATAAAGACTTTGTGAATTCAGGATGATATTTATTTGTGTGTGCAAATTTTAATTATCAGAGGTTTACTGTGTATATAATGTACTTGGTACATCAGCCTATATTTGATATCCCATCTGTTTTCTAATGTTAATAATGTTAAAAGGTGGTTTAACTCCCTCTTGTGGTCATTGTCCTGAAGCTCAGGGGGGAGAAAAATAAATAAACTGTGTACTGTGGGTACAGTTTTGCAAAACTGCGCACAGTTTACTTATCTGTCCACATGGATGTAAATTGATCATCTGTACCCACAGTTTAAAATCTGTCCCCACGGACTGTAAAACCGTGCACACAGTTTATTTATCTTTCTCTCCCCGGAACCTCGGGGGGCTCCGTAGTCGCTTGTTTTGGGCTTGTTTTCACAGGTCTGGTTGCTTATTTGCCTCGCGAGATCTGGCAACACTGCTAGTAACCACTTACGCATCTACTAGATACGGGATTGCGTAAACTGGTCTGGTGCAACCGAAATTAGTAAACAATTAGTTGCAAACTAGCTAGTAATTCCTAAGGGTTTAGTAATTACTAAATCCTGACTTTAGTAGAGAGATACACCAAACTGGTGCAACCCCACCCTGCTGGTACCGTCGTGATACAGACGGTTTTACTGGACTAGAATCTCTGTTCTTAAACGACGGCTGACATCATTATCATTCAGCCTGCAGCAGCAGTCAAACGCTCAGTTAGAACAGTTAGATAATGAGGCGCTGGAAAGCAAACGCCGCTGTCACCAAACTCTGTAGGAAAAGTCTTAAACTTTCAGCGTGTCTCCCTCCATCAGAGGACAAAAGACAGACGAAGCAGGAACTGCAACAGTGCCTGAAGGAGAACTGTCCACTGCTCAGTTCGGCGTTAATCCTGTCCCAGACTGAGGGTTCTACATGGACTAAAGTCCGGTCTGATTCCCGGAGTCCTTCTCGGTGTTGTACCGAGCGCTTGTGTTAAATGAGCGGTATATGTGAACGGAGTTCCCCGTGTCAGTGAACTCACCCTGTGTTCCGCAGCATCGTGTCGGAGGTTAAAGCTTCTGATGAAGAGTCACAGCCCGTCGTCTTCCTCACCTTTCACCCACTTCAAGACGCTTGAGTCAACAGGAAGTTATGGATCAACTACACTACTCCACTTCCGGTCTGCAGACAAAGATGCACGAGGATCAATGAGATGTTTGACTCGCGACTTTTATTTGACTGTTGTGATGAAGGTGTCACCGGACTGTACCTTCATCATTATCATCGTCATCGTCATGCTTTATTCTTCATCATCACAGATCCTGGGGAAGCGTTGACCCCTCTCTCTCTCTCTCTCTCTCTCTCTCACACACACACACTTAGTGGCACGTGCACGCGCCCCGTGCACACTCAGCAGGGTTGTGGAATATTCTCCACTCCTGAGTTTATTAATATTTACTGTGTGTACAGTGTTCCTTCATCACCTGAGCAATGTGACTCATAATATCATTAATATCACACATCAACATACATATTAATTATTATTATTATTATTTATTTATTTATAGATCAATCAATCAATTTTATTTATAAAGCCCAATATCACAACACAATTTACCTCAGAGGCTTTACAGCAAACGACATCCCTGTATATGTAAATGTAATTATGATGTTATTGGATGAGTGAGTGATGTCATACTGAATCATATTGTGATTATTTTAAGACATGAATCAATTAAAAACAATAAAATTATTTCAATATATAGTTTTTGTTGTTTTGTTTGTTTTTTATTTTCATGCCATTCACATGAACACAATAAAATAATAATTAATAAATAAAATGACTTCAGAGATCAAAGATAATAAACAATAATAAACAAACAAAATAAACAGTGAACTTTATAATAACTGAATTAATAAATGTTTTATTGTTTGTTATCGATCCATCTGTGTCTGATCTGAGGCGTGTCCACACGAGCCGCCATGTTCCCCGTGACGTCATCAAACGGGAAGTGAGCTCGTTGTTCTCCATGGTTGCTGCCTGGCTGCGGTGCGGGAGGCTCGCGGACCAAAACAACTCTTCCTCTCCTCTTCTTCCTCCTCGCGGACCATGGACGGGTGAGCGCGCGCACACCATCCCGAACATTTCCCCCAACATTTCCCGCCGCTGTTTTTTCCCTCTCTTCCACCCTCGCGTTTCCTTGGTAACTGAACCGCACCTGCGCGAGCCTTTGGCTTTGCTGCCCCCCCCCCCCGCTTCTGCTTGTTGTTGTTGTTGTTGTTTACGGAACCCTCACCCCTCTCCTCGGTGTTCCTGTTTCCCGCTCCTCGCGCTCCTCATCGCTCGTGTTTCGCTTTTTCTGGTTTTGTTTTGGTTGAAAGTGTCGCGAGCGAAGAGTGACGATTTAGCGGCGGGGTTTGATTGGCTGAAATCACGCGAGAACTCCTGAGTGAGCACGTCCAGCTGATTGCTCCGCTGACTGTGAGTGTTTGTCAGAGTCAAAGGCCCAATCCCAATTCCTATTTTAACCCTCAATCTCACGAGCCCTCAAAACCAAGTGTTAAGGGCTATCTTGTGACTTTGAAATGGGACACCCCTCAAAGGCAAATACGTCTTAAGACTGTCGGCGGCAGCAATATGCCAAAACTCCGTCCAGTCTGTCAGTTCAAAGAAGAAGAAATATATGTCATCAGTAGTCGTCGATAAAAAGACGTGACGAGTTTTTTTTCCCCCAACACTTTATTTCAATTCTTATACAAAACAAGCAGTGACAGACATGAACAGAACAAATATGCCAGGGTTAAGAGAAAAGAAAAAGAAATAAAATAAACAAATAAATAAATAAAAAGTTCAGCAGCTCAAACAATTAAATTGTTTACATATTTTCAGTCTTTACAGCTTTGGAGTTTGGGGAGTGCTGAATGGTTTCTAAGTATTGCTGCATTTCATTCATAAAAATTTTGAACAAGGGTTTTCTGTTACAAAATCTTCTTTTATGAATATGGAATTTCGCTAAGATAATAGATAGATTAATGATATAGAATTGTTTTTGTTTTGAAATGCTGACATCATAAAATCCAAACAGCACATCTTTGTACAGTAGTGAAAATAGAACATAAATGTTGCAACGAATATACTCGACAAAATCTTCCCAAAAAGTGACAGTATAGAGGCAGCAAAACAAATGTACAGTTACCAAACAACAATTTTCGACAATGCCGTCTGCAGCTGTGCTGATTTCATATTGAAACAGAATGCTTGATCATTAGGGGAACAGCTGCCGTTGTGACTGAGAATTATGTTATGAATATGAACAGTTCACAAGTTACAAATTACTCACTCCCATAGGTTTTTTGGAGCCTGTTTGCTTTTTGAAAACTTGTCTTCATTGGTGGCCCTGAAATGAATCAGGGCTTGTGTTTTGTCTGGTGGCCCTGCAATGAAACCGAGATAACAACATTACTTTCTTTTATTTTTTACTTTTTTGGGCTACCTGTCAGATATTCGTTAAGTTATTAGTTTAGTTTCATGCAGTATTGCAAGTATTATCACAATGAATACTGTAGTCAACATCCAGCAGAACTGGTGAGGCTGTTTACACAGTCACACAAGTGTTATCTCGTGACTTTCATCTACGTTAACGTTTCACTCTTTGGGTTATAAGTTGATATTCAACCAAATAACCTGTACCACAACAACCGACGTAACTTATTCAGCGGAAAGTCACCAGATAATACGATCACTAACGTCAACCTGCAGCTGTAACGTTACCAGCTGCAGACTCTACGGCTACAGGAGATGACACCGTCCGGTCATCTTACAAAAATGTCGATGCAAACATTTCACGTATATTAAAACAACTTAACAACTACATTATCACTGAGAAAA